CATTTTCTATATATGAAAAAGGGGAGCCTGGAAATTTTTCCAAGGGTGAAAGAGGGGGGGTTATAATTTTCTGGGTCTATTCACATATATTGTATAGACGACGGCTGCTGTGATGAACATACTGCAATGAGAAAGAGTTATTGTTTGTTTGTTTGTTTTATTGCACAACAATAACTTAATCAAATTAGTATAAAACATGAAATATGAAACTTCATTTGTAAACAAGAGTATAAACCTCTGTAGATGGCATAAACAACTTACTGCACTTTCCACTGTATGAAGAAAAACAAACTTTTAAAACAAGTTTGTGAAAAGCAAACACACTAATATAACACAAAATGTAAAGATAAAATATATTTTTATAGTGTATCATTTTGTATATATATAAATAAAATATATAAAAAAGTTTTCATATTTTTTAATAAAACACAACTTTCTGAGGAACTGTAGATATTGAACCTAGGCATCTATTTTTGATCCTCTCCATTCCTATCAATCTCTATCCTCATCGCAAAGAATGTCACTATCGGAACTATCACCAGGATCTTTAGAACCACTTTCACCATCCTCATAACCTTCTCCACTGGAACTATCAGATAGGCACTGATATTTTAACTTCAGTTCTTCATACAGCTTCATCATCGACTGCTGCTTAGCTGCAGCACAGAAGAGATTGCGATGAATGACACAGAGGTATTGCAAATATACTGCATCCATCTTTGACAACTTAAAATTGGCTTCAGTTTGATCTGAGATTTTAAAATCTACTGAACCATGTATACCATCAGGGAAACATCTTTGTACAACCTCAGTGGATGCCATCCTTTGTAACAAAGCTGTAACTCCTCTTGCAAAACGATCTCGTTTTCGCTTCTTCACTTTTCTCCTGTTTTCTTTCTTGCCTCTACTTATTCTTCTTTTACTTACATCTGACAATCCCTGGAATACATTTCTTAACCATGTCAGTGTTTTATCAAGATCTGACATGAACTCAGTAGACTGGTTGCTAATTTCTTGCAGTTCACTCACCATGCTGTCATTGTAAGCCGCCTGTTCAGTAGCCCTCTGTTTTAGGTGTCTTCCATCACTGGTAAATAAGTCAGAGTAACTTTCCACAACCAGTGCCAAACAGTGAGAGGCTGTATAACTTCTTAAGCGTGCATGAGACCCCATATGTGAATAGTAATGGTGAAAGAAGACAGCCAGATGTTTGGCAGCCACGTTTCAACATCACGCAGAATTTCAAAAATGGGCTTTTATCTTTGGAGAATACTGAGAGCATCAAAGAATTTTCCTTTAAGTATGCAGTGGAAGAGCAATATGTCATAGACTATTTACAACACCTTACCACACTAAAGCAAATGAAAACCATTAGGGGAAAAGGTAGGAAGAAACAACAAAAAGAGAAGCAGGAAAAAAGTCATAGTGATTATGACTGGATTTCTTGGGTGTTGAATGGGACACTAAAAACATTG